GTGAAGCTTAATCATTAAATTATTACCATGTTAGTGTTAGATTTATTTATAAATCACATTTAAACACTGCTTGTACCAGTTAATTAAATAAAAAGTAACACACACGTTCTCTATCACCGTCATTAATCAGCAAACAAACAAGCAGCAGCTTCAGCTACCAGAGAGACTGACGTTACTTTTTCTCACTTGGAAACAGAACAAATGTGGATATTATAGATACTTACCTGCCAACACATAACAAGTTGGGAGTGAGACGAGTTGTATCAGCTGTTCGACTCCTTCCTCCTCCTCGTGACTCCAACATGTTTACGTTTATCTCCATGGTTCTCCCGTGCCATGTCGTCACTTTTCAAAGCTGCATGTTGTGCAGTTTTTATCTTTGTGAAGAGCTCCCACACTGTCGACGACTTGGGTCGAACAGTTTTCTCTGCGTCGGTCATTTGTAAAATTTACTTAATTTCTTTTGAAAACACCAACTCTGCTCTGCTTCCACCTCCCCCCCTCTCTGTTCAACTCGCGCTGCAGTTTTTTTTTTACTCTATTCAGTTAGCCAGCATTGACAATGCTCTGCAGGTGAACAAAACAGCTCCGCAGCACCGTGTGAGACGCTTAATCGTGTGACATAACAAATCGATATTGAAATTCATTGCCAACACTTTTAATAATCAATTTTTATCAATTTTATTGATTTGTTGTTGCAGCCCTAGTATATTGTGTACATAACCTTAGTAAAGGTACACAAAAGTGTTCTCTAATGAAGCGTTGAAGTTGTAAGAAGACTAAGCAAGACCAGCAAGTCTAATGGCATTCTGAAGTAAGAACAACTTTTCTGTACTTTACATTTTGAGGGGTTATCAGATATACTGCAGAGTATAAATTAACTTTTTTTTTTAATTATTATTAATTTGCCAGAATGACAATTTTCTCCCCTAAAAAGATTATTTAATTCAAAGGGATTATATATACAGGATTTCAGCTCATCTAGTCATTTCATTTTATTTATTTTTCATGTTTGATCATTTATTGAATTACATTTATCACAGAACAATTACCTCTAAGTATGCTTAAATATAATCAAGTTTAGCTCATCCAAACAGCCACAACACCTTGTTGTTGTTGTTGTTTACTATATTTCAAAATTAGAAAGAGTTATTTGTTTTGTTCTGTTACTTGAAGATTATTATGATTGAACTAATTGTTTGAAAAAGGGACAGATATAATAAGATTTTTTCTTCTTTCTGCTGCCTTTCATTTTAAATCTCTTGTATTCTTTTATATAGTTATGGAATTGTTTTGTATTTTTAAAATGAATAAACTTTATACCATACTATAATTCTTTTGTACCTTGTAAATATTATATTTTGTTTTTCATTTTTTGGTACTTTATTTTGTACTTTTATTGCATGCTTTAGTATTTCTTGTTTTCTTAGCGAGTTGAATCGTTCTTCACATCCTGAACATGTTGATCATGTGTTAACCTGCATATGACACAAACATAAACATGATTATTGTTAAAGCACAGTGTGAAACTGAATTTAGCAGATATTTATGATCAACTAGATACACGTGAAACTGCCTCTCAAAAAGAACTTTGTGAGTTTGGTGGAAAAATCAAAGTTAAACGGAGACACACATCTTTGTTGTATGGGACATATAAATATTTGTCTCTAAGTGTAAATATGAATTAAATATGAACTAAAGTAGCAGATGCAGACTCGTCTGTCATCGTGAGAGACACAAACAGGCTGATTGAGCTCCCACAGTGGCTCTGTCTCCTTTGAGGACCAGACGTTTAGTCCAACATGTCTGTACCATGATGACGATCCTCCGACCACATTAACGTTCAATACAAGGTTAGATTTTCGAAAGAAAGTCTTCCTGCCGACGTCGGGGTGCGGTACGGGAGGATGGTGTGGTGGTAATGGTGTATCAGTTCTGGTATCTCCCCCGACTGCAGTGAATTGGTCATGTGCGAACATGTGAAATACGTAGACATTAAATAGTTTATTACACGTCATCACCCTTGGTTAGGGTAGCGGGGTGTCCTTCTTGGAAAATAGTCCAGGAAACACTGATTGGAAGCAGTGTCAGTTTAATCCCTATATCATCTTTTGATTGGATGGCTTTAAAAAGACCACAACAAAACAATGTTTTATTTCCCTGCTTTCATTTTTATAGATGACAGAAATTTGTTGTGGCAATAGAGAACTTCAATTTATGTCTACTTCACTTGGTTGTCCACCGGAAAACCTTGGGGGGAGATCTGGTTGTCCAAGACAAAAATGCATTGTCTCTGTCAACCATAAAGTGCAAATGTCGACCTTTGCTTTATCATCTTCTTATGCAGAGCAAGTCATTTGCCAACAACATTGGTAAAAATGGAGGGGTGCCACAACACATGACATCGCAAGATATCTTGTCAAGCTGAAATCTGTCATATGAAGCATTGTCAAACTGCAGTCAGTTTTTACGTTCTCTGGTGAAATCACCACATTAAATTGTTTGTGTGACACTAATAGGGCTGGGTACCTTTCTAAAAAAAAATCGGTATCGGTACCTTCACTTCGGTGTCGGTTCCTGGACGGTTCTTTTTCTGTACCAATTTTGTAATTAATATTAATTCTAACAAGAATAAAACTAATTATTATAATAAATTACGTTACACATTATAGTACATATTGTGAATTTTATTTTTTAACTTTGGTATTTCTATTCCAAGCAGTTTTCTTACATTAAAATAAACAAATAATTTCCAGTTCAAAAGACCAGTTACAAACCAGTGACACGTCAGTGTCTATTGTTCACTGCTACACACTGAGGACCTTTTCACTTAACAGTTTTTCTTCAGAAACATCAACATGTCTGTTTTCTGTGGACACAAACAAGCTGCTCCTGGCTGATGGTGTCTCCAGCAGTAGAACATGTTCACTCTGAGGGTGTAGATGATGATTGTTGCACACACAGATACCTGGTTGTCAGTTTGACATATTGTCCCTCACATCCCACCAGCAGGTCACTGGATTCACCGAGGTAGAGTTGATGCAGACTTCTGCACCTCTGTGTCTCTTCCTGAATCTTCTCTGTGGTTCTCTGGGGTTTAGGGTTCTGATCATCTCTCTAATTGACATGAGAACAAAACATCAACAATAACATGGTTGTTATTATTGATCAAAAACATTATCTAGGCTGAGAGATAAAAGTTTAACTGTTCAACATAATCCTTTAAAGTTTACTTACCTCCACCGTGCAGCTCCACTGTAGAAAAAGACAGCAAACTTTTAACAACAAAGTTTGTGGCTGTCCTGTGGCCCCCACCTCACTTTTCTTTTGTCTCTGTCCTCACATCAGGGTCAGAACCTCCTGTGAGGAGAACATTAACATAAACAAACGGTGAACATTAGCTGAACTGTTTAAGCAGCTGACTGGATGGATGAGCTCATGTTTACAAGCTGATTTATTTGTTACTGTCAATCTTTAGTTAGCTTCTGAGTTTAGCTAGGTACATAGATAAAATAAATTTACACACTAATATCGTAAAGTTAGCGTTATTTCACCGCAATGTACGTGTTAAGCTGCAGTAACGTTAACAAACGTAAACTCACCAGCTGAAACACAGACACAGAGCCGTCCTCAGAGTTCTTTGATGAAGACGAGTCCGGCCATGGAATGTTGATTCAGTCCGTTTCACACACAGAGACTGACTAACGCTGAGAGGAGGGGGGAGGCTGATGTCCGTCTGTCTTCTTGCAGAGAAGCACGATATACCTGATCATGTCGCTTATAAAACAAAATTGGTATCGGCCAGAATCAGAATCGGCAGGTCAGACATTTTAGAAATCGTAATCGGTGATTGGACAGAAAATTGCAATTGGTGCACCCCTAGGTAATTCAAGGAGGAGTTTTATGTTATTAAGTTTTATGAAATAAATAGTAGCTGAGCTCTATCTACTGTATGTAAAGTCAGGTCCATCATCCATGTGTAGAGACTCCAGGGGTGTAACTGGAGCGGTACTGGGTTTGAATAGTAATCATCTTATTGCTAGTTTCCCTGAGTTTAAGGTCTTAGTGTTACAATGTGGATCCAGATGTTTGGAGTCAGAGAGTCAGCCAATATTTAAAAATGTATTAATCTGTAAAGACTGTGTCTAATCATGTGTGCATGAACAATGTTATGATCAACATAAGAAGGATGTACCAAGAATAGCTTTCAATGCTATTACCCTGGAAAATAACAGATCCAGACTGTGACGTAGTCCCACCATGTAAAATCTGCATTTCAGCACATTTTCCACGGTTGTCATTGTCTGAGTAAAAATTTATCTTCAGTATCTCTTTGAAGAACTTTATTTAAAAAGTCTTTCTCATAAAAAAGAACATTTTTTCATGTTTGAACGCCTCACTTTTCCTTCTAAATGTCATGCAGTCTGAAAAGTGTCCAGGAGTTTCTGTTAGCTCAAGAACAACAAGAACATGACCGAGTCAGCACGCGCTGCAGCAAACTGCCATCCATAATGGAGGCCTGAACAGTGGTGCAGATGTTTCTGCAGCTGGAGCTGCCTCAGAGGCTGTCCAGCCTTTTCTGTTCACCTACCTTTTGTCACATCTGCATCAGTGATCAGAGTGATGCAACACCTCATCCAGACTCACAGACACCACACATCAGTCTTTCAAAGAGCTGGAGAAAATGAGTGTACATATGGAGTCAGAAGGTGTCAGGCCCAGCCAACCCCACCCCCGATAACAAACACACTGAAAGACTCTCTGAGGACGTCTGCCACCACAGAGTAGAAGCTCTGGCTCGTTACAGAGAAAATGTTTCATTCCTAGTTTATATGTTGAACTTCTCCTTTGGCTGGTGTAACATTTGTCCTGTAGTTGAAGTTTGTGTTGCAGGCTGTAAATATTTTGAGTGGTCTGTGTGAATATTCATCAGCTCACACCGATCCTCTGCATGCTGAGAGGTTTGCCCTGCACTCACCGACACTTTCTTCTCCGAACAGCTCCGTCCCAGGTCAGCGAGGTCATCAAGGAGAAGGTGCAGCAGCGCAGCATCCAGCTCTCCTGGCAGGAGCCCCAGCAACCTAACGGTGTCATCACGGAATATGAGATCAAATACTATGAAAAGGTAAGACAGCAAATTTGTTTGTCCCTTTCTGGAGCATTTTGCGTTAACATCAGTTCTTCGTTTTTCATTCACATGCTGTTGTGAACAGGATTCATAAGAATCTGTGAGGACCTTCTTTGTCTCATGATTGCAATAATGAATTAGATGTTCATAAGATTTTAATCTGACTGTTGTCCTTTTTCACACACATGCGAGCGCGGGGCTGCTGCGCTGCCAGAATTAGCAGTGTGTTACTCTTATCTCCCCTCTCAGCTCACACATATTATCCTGCTGCTTCCTTGTGTTTCCATTCTGAACACATCAGCTTTCTACAGCCAGGTTTAATGGAGCGAATTGAACCTGGCAAATCAAAGGCAAGGGAGCAGAGAGTTGTGGTGCCGGTCCTGGCGGCCACACACTCTGACAGATTGGTCTCCTGTGTCACATACTGCAGTCGAGCTCTGCCCGACTGGAAAAGTGGAAAATTGGAAACAACGACAACACCCCTAACAGAGCCCGGGCATTCCATTTGTGCCTTTACTAAGAAAATGTTAAAGATCAACTACGGAGCACGCAACAATGACAGTTGAGGCAACAGGATTCTTACTGGCAAAAAAGATCAACGTTTTATGCCTGCATATTATAAAATGTGATGATATGAGTTCAATATCTTCTGTAAGTCACAAGAAAAACCTATCAGGAGCATTTTGTTATTTATGTTCAGGCCTGGCAGCATGGTGGCTCAGTTGGTAGAGCTGTTGCCTCTCAGCGAGAAGGTCCCTGGTTCAATTCCCAGCCCAGGGTCTTTCTGGGTGGAGTTTGCATGTTCTCTCTGTGCATGCGTGGGTTTTCTCTGGGTACTCTGGTTTCAGCTCCACGGTCCAAAAACATGCATGTTTGGTAACTCTAAATTGTTCCTAGGTGAGTGTGAGAGATTGAATGGTTGTTTGTCTCTATGTGTCCCTGTGATGGACTGGAGACCTATCCAGAGTGTCCCCCACCTCTCACACTGTAACTGCTGGATATGGGCACAAGTGACCCCTGCATCCATAAAGGAAGAAGCTGGTAAAGATGATGGATGGATGTTCAGACCCAGCATATTGTCAGCTGACTTTCTTGTCAGAGTTTTAGAATAAAATAGTTTTCTTTTGGGACTGATGGAGTTGTAGCAGTATTGTGCACTCTGTGCCGGTCCGTTGTAGTGAAGAGGGAGCTGAGCTGTAAGGCAAAGTTCTCTGTTTACCAGTCAGTCTATGTTCCTACCCTCACCTACAGTCACAAACTCTTGAGTAGTGACTGAAAGAATGAGATTGTGGATACAGGCAGATGAAGTGAGTTTCCTCTGCAGGGTAGCTGGACTCTCTCTTAGAGATAGGCTGAGAAGTCCAGTTATCAGGAGAGACTCGGAGTAGAACTGCTGCTCCTCCACATCAAAAGGAGTCAGCTGAGGTGGTTCAGGCATCTGGTAAGGATACTTCCTGGACGTCTCCCTAGGGTGGTGTTTCAGGCATGTCCACCTGGGAAGAGACCCCGGGGAAGACCCAGGACACGCTGCAGAGACTACGTCTCTCTGTTGGCCTGGGAACACCTTGGAGTGCTCCGAGAAGAGCTGGAAGAGGGCTGAGCACATCCCCACGAAGACAGAAGGGAAGGAAAAGGAACAGAAACACATCCAAGAAGCTCTCCAAACATGTGGATATCCTAACTGGGCTTTTGTCAAGTCAGCGAGGAAATCTACAAAACACAACGGCGAACAGAACAAAGAGAACAACAGACGGAAAAACATTGTCATCCCTTATGTTGCTGGATTATCCTCATCCCCAAAATGCCTCCCGGGCGCTTTCAATAGCTGCCCACTGCACCACCTGGTGGTGGATGGGTTAAATGCAGAGACTAATTTCGCCAATGTATGGAAACATACAGTGCTGACATTGTGATGACATTATTATTATTATTATTATTATCCAAGAAATTCAAAAGGATTTTCAACAAACACAACATCCCAGTACATTTCAAACTCAGCAGGACTCTCAGACAGAGGCTGGTCCACCCTAAGGACAGAACACCCATACACAAACAGAGTGGTGTAGTGTATGCGGTCCAGTGCAGCGAGGACTGTCCAGACCTCTACATTAGAGAAACTAAACAGCCTCTTCACAGACGCATGACTCAACACAGGAGAGCCAGCTCCTCAGGACAAGACTCAGCTGTTCACCTGCACCTCAAGGATAAGGGACTAGAATGAGGACCAGAATGTTCACATTTTGGACCGAGAACACAGATGGTTTGAGAGGGGAGTGAAGGAAGCAATTTATGTAAAAAGAGAGAAACCATCTCTAAACAGAGGAGGAGGCCTCAGATTTGAACTTTCAAAAACGTATAATGCAGCTTTAGGACTGATACCCAGCCAAAGTGAAGTCCGGGCCGAGCACGTCAACCAGAATAACAATGATCTGTCTGAACTCACAGGGCAGATAGTAAGGGTGAAAGGTACAGTCATTAACTCACAGTGTTTTGAACAGTCAGTCTCGCGGATTGTGATGTTTGCTGCCCAGCTGTCATCCACAAACATACACAACCCTCCTCCAATGCTTTTCTCCATGTGCTGTGTGTCTCTGTCAAAACCGATTGTCATATATCCCTTCAGGTCAGTGACGCCATCGTTCTCCATAAGCCAGGACTCAGTGAAACATGGAAGTTGGCTCTCCTAAAGTCTCTGTCATATTTCAAAAGTCCAGATAACTGCTCCATCTTATTCAGGTCTCTCTTGTAAATGAGTCCCCGAGGCTCAATGGGATTAACCTGGAGAAATAAAGAAAAATTCCTTATTGAACACACGAAAGCGTGATTGTTGGAGAGGGAAGCGGCTGCCCCTCCTTTTAAGCCGGTTCCATATTCCTCCTCTGGATCCACGCATTTTCCTTTTAGCTGTACCAGTGCCTGACTCATTTACTGACCGGGTTATTTCAGGGCAGCTGTGGAGATGGGTCGGGGGAGAAGTGTTGGTTTGCAGGTAGTTCCAAGAGTAGGTAATCCACTGTTCTATGTATCCAAAAAGCCCGCTGTCAACATTTAAAATGCCCCATATAGTCCAAAACACAAGACAAACCAATCATTTTGCGAACATATTGCTTGACATGTTTGTCATGACTGTTCTGCAGTATTATAAAAACAATACAATAAAATATGGTACAACAGATCAAAAACTAACAAATTACAAACAAACCAGATGCTGAGGATCAGCACTTGTGCATGCGCCCATACCAGATGTAAATGTTTGACTTTGTTTTTATTAGCTGTTCTTACTGGGTTTTTTTAATCAGCTGTTCTTATTGTCTTTGTTTTATTTTTAGCCTGTATTTGTATCTTTGTAAAGCTCTTTGTGGTTTTATTCATGAAAAGAGCTATATAAACAAAGTTTACTTACTTACTTATTTATACTTTCCTCACATGATTTGGGTGTCCAACGATTATTCTGTATTGGCCAAGGTCACCATTAAAGACAGGAAAGAAGGCTTTAAAATGTTCAAAATATTTTTTTTGCTTGTTTTGCTGAAAATCTCCTTTTTCAGGCACATAAAATATACTGCAGTTTCAGTATTAATACAACTTTTTGAAAATGTTTTCTTTTTTGGATTGAACCTCTCCTTTTACTGCGGACATGGGTCACTGTCTGTTAAACAGAGAACCTGTCTGCAGGGTTATTGTGAGGGTGGCAGTTCTTCAGCTCACTGACTTTTATAAGGTCAGCTCTTTCGAGAAGAGATTTGCATTTGTTGGTTTTCCGTCAGGACTCATGCACTGTGCTATGATATAGAACAAACTGCTGCTATCAGCTTTAGAAATGGCCGCATGCAAGGTTTGACTGTTCATGTGCTGCTGGTAGTCACCCACCACTGAAAGCTAAAGGGGGATTATGTTTTTATCTGTTAGCAGAATATGGCTGCAGTAGCTCAGCGGTCAGTGTCACGGTCTTTAATCCAGAGTTTAAGTGTTCGAGCCCAAGTTGCATCAGGAAGAGCATTTGACAAACAGCTAAAATAAATGCCAAATCTTTCATGCGAGTTTGCTCGCTGTGGCAACCCCTGAAGACGGGAGCAGTCAGAAGAAAGTTTTGTTTGTTGACACCACACGTTACGGGTATAACATGTTACTGTTTTTAGTTTTCTACATCACCTTACAACCTAGCTGTTTTTTGTGAATTTTTTTATATCATTTTATTTTCACTTATTAAATTTGTACGCATCCTTTATGATTGTCTATTATTGTCTTTGTTGTCCACTGTTGTCGTCACTCTTTGGTAAAATCAGGTCTCTCTTGTAAATGAGTCCCCCAGGCTCAATGGGACTAACCTGTAGAAATAAAGGCCGAATGAACAAAAAAAAAAGACTGACACACTTGTGGAGTTTTGTGTGTTGCTGCCGTGCCATCGTGGTTCAGTTCCCGGCCCCCTTTCTGCCTCGGGCTCAGGCTCCGGCCTGTCATGGCGGCCGTCTCCACGATCCTCCATCTGCCTGCATGGACCGAACTCTACGGAACTGTTTGGTTCTGCAGGAAACCCTGGATGATCTGTGTCTGCCAGACCCGGTTCTGGAGGGCAGTTATCATCCGTTGCTGCTGTCGTTATTATCATCATGCTGTCTACGAGACCACGCCGCGAACAGAACCACACTCCTAACAGCAGCCACACCACCAGGGACCCAGGCCACAGATCGGCACATAGCCCTGAGGACCGACAACAACCGGGGCCAGCGACAACCCCCCCACCCCCACCCCAAGACCGTCCAGATCCCCCAATCCCCAGCTCATCACCCAGCCCCCCGACCAAAAAAGCCACCAAATTCCAACAGCGACACTCAGCCAAGAGTGCCCGAACAGTCGCAGATAGTGCACCACGACGACCGAGAGAGCACCCCCACAAAAGAACCGACCAGTCCACCACAGCAACACCCACAATGAGAGTACCCCACGCAAGGGAGGGTACACACCTAACACGCCCAGACACCCCTGGGCCAACAGTACAGAGCCACCCGAGCGAGAGCCCCCAATACACCCCCGACCACGGCCACAGCCAGGCAAGAAGACACCCAGGCTGAATCCACCCGTCCCCTCCCATGGCCCATCCTCCCCCCACCAACAGTATCACCCACCCACGGTAGAGGCCCCAAAGCCCACCAGCGCACCAAAGGCCCCCAGGCCAGAGCTGGGTGCCGGCGCATGCACCAGCCTAAGACCCCAACAACATACCAGCCAAGACCTGAGACCCCCTGGTCAAGTCGGGACCCCAGCTCGGGAGCGACACTCCCCCAGAACCCCGAACCCGCACCCACCCAGGAGCAGCCAGGCCACCAGGCCAGTAACCTGCGCCCACCGGTACAGACCGCTCAGAAGCCTGCATGCAGCCAGCAGAGGTCATCGCTCAGAACCACCAAAGCCACCTCCCCAGTCGAGCGCAATTTCCCCGGGCCCACGACCCCCCCATGCCCTCAGCCCAGATACCCCGCCACATCAACAACGATGCCCAACGGGACGAAATCAAAGGGGTTTACCCACCTCCACTATGGGTTAGAGCCGATCAAAGAAGCCCAGAGAGAATGGTCTGATGTGGAGGTACAGGCTTTCTCAAGACTGATGTAATCCAAAAAAAGGTCTTTATACTGTTTAATACTAAGAGTACTTTTATTTTTCCTATTCATGAGTATAGTTTTATTTTTTTGCTATACATAAAGCAGTAAAAATAATGTGAATTGACTTTGTCTCTGAGGTGACATCATCTAAGTGGCCCAATAAGCAAACTGACAGAGAGAGTGGAATATTACATCTCAGACACTTTGATAAGTCTTCACATATCTGGCACCAAAACCTCTGAACAGGTGGACAGAACCAAAATGCGTAGATGTAATTGTCAGGAATATTGTCTGTACACTGTGAGCAAATATTAGATGATGCGAAACCCATCCTGAACATCTGTTGACCTGTGTAGTGTACTCTATGAAGGATTTTGTATTGTATTAATTGTAAATTGGTTTTTTTTAATCATCTTAAAAGTTCTTAGACATATCTGAGACCAGAAGTTTTGGTCAAAGTTGACTGAAAAGTCTGTCTCCCATTTTACAATGAGAAGGGATATTGATTCTTCTATTTTAATGAGTGTCCGGTAAACCTTAGATAGTAATTTGGGAGGGTTAAGAAATTAGGAATTAAATTAGGAATTCTAATACACTTGTTGGTATTTCAATTCTAGTGTTATTAAGGTTAAATTATTTTTTTGATTTAATTTGTTGATATTCTAAAAATGTATTCTTATCAATCCCATATTGTGTTATTAATCTGTTAAATGGGATATAGTCTACTTCCTCATATATATGTTCCAAATACTCAATTCCTTTTCACCTCCAACCTGGGAAGTTTATCATATTATTCTGTTGTAGTATGGCAGGGTTGTTCCAGATGGGTGTACGTCTGCATGGAATTATGATGGTTTCTTTTTTTGCTGAGAAGTTTCATCCTTCATCCAAAAGACTTCTTCATCCTGAGGAGCCACCAACAAAAAAAACTGATTCCCACAAACAGTATATTCCATAGTGGGGAAAAAAACAGTTTACTAGTGCTAAGATGGCCTCCGTGGCCCGCCCTCTCCCCTGTCAACACTTCTGAGACAGTCATGCCAAAGTGGTTCTTGTAGGGATCTGCACCTGCCCTGCTCTGTGCAGATACAAAGTAGTTAATGACTCTCAGGTGTTACGTATTGGGTTTAATTAGAGACGCTCCTTTATATACTGTGCTCTCCTGCATCTCAGGCAGGGGAGCATTAGGTGCTTAAGCTGCATCTTCACGGTCATCTCCTAGTGCCTTGGTATTTCATGTATTTCCTACGAATGTAAGTAGTATCGCTGCCCCGACAGCATTATTTGTTATTGTTGCCTTTTTGTGATTAAAACGCCTTTTTTGTGACCTCGTTGGAGTCCTGCTTGCATTTGGGTCTCAACCACCTCCCCGATCGTGACAGTTCTAAACACCAAAGGTTTTAGAACATACTCCACTATGGAGTATGCTGTTTTTGGGAATCAGTTGTGTTTGTTGATGGCTCCTCAGATTGAAGAAGTCTTTTGGGTGAAGGACAAAACTTCTCAGCAAACAAAAAAAACCATCCAGATGACCTGACTGAACATTGTTGGATTTTATACCTGGAAAATTGAACATGAACTTTGGTAGTCATTCAGCTATTCCCATAAATTAATGTCATTCAAGGAGGGCAGGTGTTTTCCCAGAGTAGCTTTTGTTCTGTTAATTTTCCATTAAATTTGTTTTTGACAGGACCAGAAGGACCGGATCTATTCCACTGTGAGGTCGAAGTCTACCTCTGCCACAGTGAACAACCTGAAGCCCAGCACATCCTATGTGTTCCAGATCCGGGCCTTTACAGAGGCCGGGTATGGTACCTTCGGGCCACGACTGGAGATAACCACCAAGGAAGAGGCAACTGGTAGGTCATCACACATTGCTAAGCTCCTGTCAGAAGGAGAGATGTCCAGCTGAATGTTTGTTAATGGGTTTCTCATTTCATGAACCAGTTTTCTGATCATAATGAACTCACATCTTCAGCTCACTGAGGTCAGAAACTCCAACATGGTTACTGCAGCAGTTCCAAACTGCAGGGAAAGTTTATATTATAAATAAATAATTAATATTTAGTTCTAGAGCAGGCATAGTTCTTGAATTGCGCTGCTCGTGGTGGCTGCATGTTGGAGTAGCTCTGTTACATTCATTCTGAGATTTTGGTTTGGGAAACATTAATTCCTCTTTTGTTGGATGTAAATCACATATTGTGGATGATTGTTTCCTCTGGTATCAGATGCTGTGCAGGTGGAAAGATTTTTACTGAAACCTTTTTATATGTGGACATTTGTTATGATGCGTAACCATAACAACAAGGTGTTTTTTTACAACTGGGAGCAGCTGATTAACATCTCTAAAGCTCAAATAATATCTCAACTACAGCCCCAAATCTCAAATGAGTTGTAAAGGAGGCGCTGTGAATGCATTCCCATCTACCTGCCGACTGTGCTCGAGTGTCTGACCACTGAGATCCTGGAACTAGCAGGAAGCACAGCTCGTGACTGCAGAAGGATGGGATCATCCCCCAACACCTGCAACCGGCTGTCTACAGCGACAAGGAGCTCTGCAGGCTGCTGGGAGGAGTTCAGCTCAGCATTCAGGTGGTCCTGCAGCCTGGGGGAACCGAGAGGCCAGCCGAGTCTGGGTGGACGGATCAGACAGCATCTGCGGCCAGTTTCTTCGGCTCCGCTGTGGGACGGACCTTTACAAGAGATCCTTCCTGCCTACAGCCATCAGTATCTATAACATCTTGTAACGTGGTGTTGGTGCGTAGAAGGAGAGCTAACTTAGCATTAGCAACATGTGCTCCAGCGTAGCTTGGAAAAGAGCGACAGCGTTGATTTCCACTTGCACTTTATTACATAACTTAGAAAACCATACAATGCCAGGTGTCCACGGTGCGACTCATACATGAATATATATAGAGTATAGTCCGTATATCCTTCACCACTCGTTACTGAGGTTGAGCGGAGTAGCTAAAGGTGTACACACTGTACATCTCTTAGCTACACACTGCTGACTTCTATAATGAGTCATGACATATCAAATAAAGGAGGCACCCACGTGTGGCATTAGGAAGGTACTACAACAGCAATATACATACTGACTGTTACAATCTCTTAATGAAATGAGAATAACGAGTTACAACAACATTTAATTTCCTTTTGGGATTAATAAAGTATTTGTGATTTTTTTTTTTTATACGTTCCCCCCACATTTAAAAAATATTTATTTGGAGGACCACACACACACACACACACACACACACACACACACACACACACACACACACACACACACACACACACATTTACAATGAAAAAATTGTTCTCCCAGCGCTGTTTCTATTTCTTCATGATTGAATTCATTCAATTTGATTAATAGGAGAATACTCAAACTACTAAAAATCAACTCTAGGTTTTTCTGGATACCCACAACAACTCCACACATCATGCAGTGTTTCTCTCTGGTCATCTGCCTTGAGGGAAGGAGGGGGAGACACCTCAGTTTTGTGCATTAGCTTAGTGCCATGTTAGTGATGGCAGGCGTATTTGGGTGTGGGGGGTTAGGATGTGGGAGAGAAGAGGAGGGCTACGTCCATAGCTAACGTATCTGTATTGAGCACCGCTAGCTTAACGCTCACAAGGAGAGCTGTTTGTCAGACTATCTTTTGTGCCATGCTCTCTAAAATAGTTATTGTATAGTTTCTGTAGTCTATCCTCTCCCCCGCAGACTTGTTTGAGGCAGTCAAGGCCAAAGTGGTTCAAAATATCCTGATGCTTGCTCAATAATTCAGGTAGAAAAATTCAACCAGTTAAATCAGGTCCTTCGGATGGTTTCTTTCTGTCACGTTCGGGTTTGGATTCAGAATAAGCCAGACACAGGAGTACAATAAGAACAGTTTTTATTAATTAGGTTGCTGCTGGAGGAATCAAGATCAGCTGCATTAACATGTTCTCATAGGCTGGAAGGAGAGAGTCACCTGACAGAATGGCAGCGATGGTGTCACTCATCCTGGTGCAGAGCAGCTGCAGAAAAAAGCGTGGTCAGAGAGGCAGATAAATCCAAGAGGGGCAGGCAAGGAGAAGAATCCGTAGTGCAGGTGTGAGGTCAAAACTAGGCAAGGTAATCCAGGCCGTGGCATGAAACAGGAAACTATGAAGTTTTGGTGTTAGGGACCATGGGAGGTATAATAATTCACCACTGGTTGGTGTGGACACGAAGCTTATAAATGCAGGTGAACAGGTGCAAGGAATGAAGGCTGATTACTGTGGAGAAAAGGGAGGCATGGCATGGAGTGAAGGGAGCAGGCTTGAGCTGGAGGATGGGTGATAGGCAAAACACAGCAGGGAAACAGAAACAATGGCATGAAGGGCAGAAACTATGGCAGGTGACATGGGCAGGAGAACAAAGAGCATGAAGGCAGGATTATGGCAGGATGGGCAGAAAAATGGCATGAGGAGCAGTGATGTGAGTAGATGAGGGGTCAGCAGGGGGCTGCTGATCATTACACTTTCAGGATATTTTGAGCCAATTTGGCCATGACTGCCTCAAACGAGTCGACAGGAGAGAGGGCAGACTACAGAAACCATCTGAGCACCATCAAACTGATTGACCCACTATGTACAGTAAGGTGCTGTTTATAAGACAGAGTTTGTTGTGACTTCTCGGACTGATGAAGTCTTTAGGATGGAAGATGAAACGTTTCAACAAGGAGAAACCATCCAGAGCACCTGACTTCACTTTGTTGGATTTTTCTACCTGGATTATTGAGCGCAGCACGGTGGCGCAGCTGGTAGAGCTGCTGCCTCTCAGCGAGCAGGTCCCTGGTTCAAATCCCGGTCCAGGGGCCTTTCTGGGTGGAGTTTGCATGTTCTCTCTGTGCATGCGTGGGTTTTCTCCGGGTATTCCGGTTTCCTCCCACAGACCAAAAACATTCATGTTAAACTGACTGGTAACTCTGATATGTCCCTAGGTGTGAGTGAGAGAGTGAATGGTTGTTTGTCTCTATGTGTCTCTGTGATGGACTTGCGACCTGTCCAGGGCGTACCCCGCCCCTCGCACAGTGATTGCTGGACATGGGCACCAGCGACCCCCGTGACCCAAAATGCAAGAAGCAGGTAAAGATAATGGATGGATGGATTATTGGGCATGAATCAGGACATCTCTGCAGCTGCTCCAGCAAAACTACCAAAGATCATTAAAGAACACGTGGAAGGAGATTGTATATTTTCTGTGCATGGAGCAGGCGCTGCGGACACAGGCCACTCTTTGTGGCTGTGATGGGCATGTCCCACACTGTCTGTCCATCAATTTATGACAAATTTACAAATTCTCTTCAGTTAACAACAGAAATGCCAGATCTTCCTTCTCCAACTCCTCCACCATGAGCTGAAAATAAACTCAGCCAACCTTGCTGCCAATGGGATTGTATTTAAATGTGGGATGTGTGCTGTAGAGGGAGCAGTGGGAGGGAGTTCTCGCTGCAGTTTCTCTCTGAGTATGAAATGGTCTTGTGAGCGAGAGAAGTGGTCTCCCATCTTGAGGAGTATGTAGCAGCCTAATGTTGACAAAGGCAGCTTTAAGGCACAGGTTATGGAAGTTTGGATGTGAAAGTGGATATAATGTCTGCATATCATTCTGGCCCTCAGGATTCCCAACTCAACTTGGACATGTACAGAAGCCCATAATGTTCCTAATATCCCACCTTGGCCAGTAATAGCCCAGGGAAATTATTTGTGTTGAGGCAAAGCAAACCCAAATTGCTTTGCCTTTCTGCTGACAACATGTTAGAGGAAAATCACTGAGCACAAGAGCAAGTTTGTCCAGTGTCGTGAGGAAAGTTATTTCAGTCTAATTAATTCCATTAGCTTTCCTCTCCATCTATGAGCTGATGTGAGATTCATTGAAAAATTGATGCTGAAGATTAGAATAATATTTACTTAATGAATAAACACAACATCAGTTTTTTAAAAGTTTTCTGCAAACTTGTAATTTTCCATAAACAGACTTATAATAGTTAATCCCACCAAAGCAGGAACTCATTTTAAAAGATAACAGTGGAGTTTTGTAAAAAAATAAAAATAAAAAAATAAAACCCCTTAAGAAGTTAAAATAACAATTTATTACATTTTTATTTCAGGCAAAGGCAGCTTTATAAAACTGATAACTTTACAGCAGACAAAAATATTTAAAGATATTCAAGTTGTTCAAGGTGTGTTCATTTGTCATATGCAGGTTAACACAAAGTTAACAGTACAATGAAATGTTCAGGATGAAAACACATTTGACTCGCTAAAAGAACAAACAAACAAGAAATGCTAAATGCATGCAATACGAGTACACAAAAAAAGTATGAAAAAGTAATTATAATATTTACAATGTCTTAAAGAGAGATGGTAAACAACAGCATGGTAGAATATAATGGTGCAAGCAGGATGAATTTAAATGAATAAGTATTTCAAGGTAGTAATATAAGCTAAAATTCACATTATTTTTATATATATATATATATATATATATATATATATATATATATATCCATCCATCCATTTTCTTTACCCGCTTATTCCATTTTGGGTCACGGGGGTCGCTGGTGCCCATGTCCAGCAATCACTGTGCGAGGGGCAGGGTACACCATGGACGTGTCGCAAGTCCATCACAGGGACACATAGAGACAAACGAGACAAACAACCATTCACTCTCTCACTCACACCTAGGGACAATTTAGAGTTACCAATCAGTCTAACATGCATGTTTTTGGTCTGTGGGAGGAAACCACACCCGGAGAAAACCCACGCATGCACAGAGAGAACATGCAAACTCCTCCCACAAAGGCCCCTGGACCGGGGTTTGAACCATATATAT